CAAATATTTTGATATTTTGATATTTTTTTAACGAGTGTTAATAAAAAAAAAAATTGTCATTCATAAAACTAGAAAATTTAAACAAGTTTATTCAAAAGTTGTTAGTGAAATTAAAAAAAAAAAGTCGACTAGAATACCTTGGTTAGGAATATTATAAACGTCTGAAAATTAAATTTTGACGAAATTATCAATTCACGTGTAAAATAATAATTTGTCAACACACAATTTTAATAATTTGTTTTAATTCAAAAACAAATAATCGGAGATACTTAAGATATTCACTAAATATTGTATTAACATTTTCTTACTAAAGCGTTTTTCGTATGCAAAAATTTATCATTAAACTCAAACTTATTAAATACATTACAGCAACTTACTCAATGATTAGGCAGTACCTTGGCACAACTACTGTACAGAAAATCCGTTATCTATTTTCCAACTTTTTTTATTTAGAAATGTCGAATTGGTATGTTGAAAAAATATTTATAATTTAAATAATCGATTGTAACAATATTCTTGTATGTGAGTATTATAAATACTTCATATTTCATATTATAAAAGTATCCACATACATATACTTAAAAAAGTATATTATTAATATTTTAACAATGTATAATTTTGTAGTAATATTAGTTATATTTTATTAGGGAAATCGTTTTCGTAATAAATTAATTTTTTTAAATATCTTTATGATATGTCTATTGCTGTTTTAAATTAATGTCTATTATTATTTGTCAAAAATATGCATTAATGTACTTTTACACATAATATTACACGTCTTATAGACATCTATTTAATAATATTTACATATGAATAAATGTCTTAAGGTTGTCTCGTTTAAACCTTATTTAAACATTTTATAAATATGTATTATTTTAATCTATAGAATCCATTCAAATACATCAATTAGACATATTTTTTGCATTTTATAGATTTAAAATGTTTACTGGGAACTGGAGAGATACAAAAATAAATTAAGAAATATGTTTGTTTATAATTCGATAATGTATATAAAGAACAAGTTACGTTGATAAAATGTATTTTTTTTTAATAGGTAGTTATTAATAGTTAAAATGTACGAGTTTATTCAGAATGCTCAATCATAATGAAGTAACTTCGAATTTCCGATAGTTTGTTTAATTTACAATTATTAACGCCATAATTTTTTCTTCAAATACTAAGTGACTGAGTATACTTGCATCGATTTTTTTCAAACACGCGCTCAATTACCACCAAATTTTCAAAGTGCCGAGCATTTATTTCAAATTCCCAACATTTTCAAATTATAGAAGATTTTAAGTATCAAGAGTTTACTGTATAGAATTATATTAAGTTTATTACCTGAGTCCACTATTGCCTCATATGATTTTTCCAAAATAATACGACACATAGGATCCATGGTATGTGCTTGTTTATAATGGACTCCAAAAAATGCTGCATCGAACTTATTTACTTGATTTAGTTTTCCAGTTCGCTGTGGGATTTCCGGGTGTTCTAAAATAATATAGGTATTAAGTAAATTTAAAATTAGGATATAGGTACCATAATTTGTAATTTAAATAATTTTCAATTTTTTACCAATTGTCCATCTTCTGTCATCTTCTGATATTAAGTCAACTTTATTGAAAAGTTTTTCGGCAAAATCTGGAAGACCGTCAGAGTTTGGAAAAGACCCGGAAAACCCTGATATAACGATTTCATCTCCAGGATCACATTTAACCAAACGGCGGCCGGCCTTTAATGCTATCTCCCTATCTGTTTTAATCTTAAGCTCGATGGCTTGTTGTCTCGACATATTGGTTTACCTAAAATTACTGAATTATTTTCATTAATGCCTAATACGCCAAAAACATAATGGATATAAGTACTCAGAAAAAACATTTGGTTCGATGTTAAAACACATGTTTATTCATTAAATTAATGGATCACAGGATGTGCTATTGATTTGCATATCGTACGATTGCTAAATAATATAGATATTCGTATAGGGTCGTTTATAGCCGTTTAAGGTCTTAAGGTTGTAGATCATTTAATCGACGGACGAATAATTTATGTTTTGTTATAGATAGCTCGTATACGATGTTTTAGAACTATAATATGCATTGAAATTATTTAAATCAGAATTATATTTTCTTACATAATAATTATAGAAGTGTATATACAGTGTAATGAGTTCTAAGTAAATTAAAATTAAAAAAAATTAAAACCAATATATGGAATAATAATTTAAGGAATACCCAAATCGTCTGATGATAGGTGTCTATCTATGCACTAATGATGACAGGAAGTATGGTAAATAATAATTTCAATATAAAACCAAAAACATTAAGAATCAAAATTAAATTATATTTGAATAGGTACGCCTATCTATAGACTATTATTGTTATTAGCTGGTAACAGGTATTTACTAATTTGTATACACTAATTAAGAACCTAGCACTTAACCTAAATGTTTATGAACTATCTACTTTTAGTACTTTTTAAGATATAAATTAATAATTATTAAACAATATATGGAAAATTAGTAAGTAGGTGTATTAAAATGTTATGTATTTTTTGATTAAAGTGTATAGATTGTTATCAAAAATATAACTGTTAAATAATTTTAAAAATCAAATTAAAGTATTTTAATCATTAAGTAGGGACATATCATTTTTATTCACGTAAAGTATCTACAATTTACATTTCAAAAACTCAATAAACAGGCAGGTATAAAACCATTAGCAGGTTAAAATTAAATTAAGTACCGAATAATTTTAATATTATAGATACATGTATTAAAAAAAAAAAAAAAATTGTATATGTTAACGCAATGCATATTATTATGTTCTATTATTTTCCTACGTTTACTCACCTAATTAAAAAATCAATTAGAAAATACGTAAACAATTAACTAATTCGAACCTACATAATTCTAAGACTCTTGAATAGTCTAAAGTAAGGTAGGATCAATATAATTATTAAATGATCTGTTAATTGTTATCAATCTAAACTTCTGAGTGTTTGTGTGACATATTAATATATTAAAAAATTGAGTAATTTGGATAATTTGTCATATTTAGTAGTATTATTTATACTAATCTGGCAATTTCAGACTTGTATTTTACAAATTAAACCATGACCAAGTACTAACTATTTATTTATTAAAAATCCAGATCATTATAGTTTCAATTCTAAACATGTTTATATTCTTACCTATTCTAATTAAAGTTTTTAAGTTTATATAGAAATCAAATAATGATTTTAAAATTAACAAGTTTTATGACTAGCTTAAAATTGTACACTTATAAATTTATCATTACTTACAATTTTTATGTAATTTAATGGTTTTTAGAAAATATGATACAAAAAAATAAATATTACTTTATACTTTTAATACACTTTGTTTAAATTTATTTTATTTAATGAAATTAACTTTGTTGTTATTTTAATTTATAATTCCTTAATCATTAAAATAAATAGGGTATCTATTTTTTATACAAATTACTTTTATTGATTTATTATTGTCAGGAATTTTTTGATATTTGTTTTATTTACTAAAATTAACTTTTTGTTTAGATTTTATCAATTAACAGGAGTAGGTTTGAGAAAAAACATCATTCATTACCTATCAAGGATAACAAAAAATTAATTAATAAATAATAATAATAATAATAATAAAACAAAACTATGTAAAAAATTGCTACTAAAATAATTAGGGAAGATCTTTTCCACAGACTATTATTGATGCCACTCAATATTAGAACAAAAAAATATAACACTCAAATATTTATAGTACAAAGTAGAGTATAAATAACTTTTTAAATAGTAAATTATTAACATAAGGGTATAGCCCATTAGTTTTTAATAAACAAACAAATATTTAACTCAAAAAAAAAACTATACATATGTAATTTTTTAACTTTTTTTACTAATTCATTTGTTACAACTACACATGTTTGTTTCCGAATAACAAAAAACGTATAACATAAAAAATTTGTACTCAGCAAAACCAGTAATGTGAATTAACTTAATATAAAATTTAAAAGCAAGAATATTATGTTTCAGTGTTGGTAATTTGTTAGTCATATTTTTTTAAGTTAATTCAATTTTTAAACCAGTTATGAATAAATAAAATATTGCATTTAAAATTAAAATACTGTAAAACAGTTAAATATGTAGGTATATTATGTTCTAACATTTTATTTTATAAAATTAAAATTAATAAATTTATTAATATTAAATCTTAAAACTTAATATCGGTTGTATTGAATACCAATTTGCTATGCTGTAGTTTTAAAATACTAAAATAACATATCCAATTTTATGCATTCTCTTAATAAAAAAACGCAAAAAAATAGAATTAACAAGATATAATTAAATAATTATAAGTAATAAATATTTAAATAATTGTCAATTAAAAATTTATTTAATGCAATCCTATAGCAGTCATAGTATAGATTATAGTCAAATTTAACCAAAGGACTATAAATAATTTTAAAATTAAATTAGGGTTTTATTTTATTTTTATTGTTCAGTACATAATCATATTTTAACTTTGTATAGATATATACCTTTTAAATAATAATAAAGTTAAGAAAATAAGATTGTCTTATACATTTTTTATATTTCTAAAATGAATTTAAAATTTTTACAATTAACTTGACGGTTTATCAATCCTATGCATATTATTTAAGAGTTAGTCAATTATGAAAAACAATTTTCAATCTAACCGATATTAAATCAAATAACATTTTGAAAATGTTAGGTATAGAAGTTTGACTATCAAAACACAAAATATGTTTTTATAAATAGATAAATATAAATAGTATAAGGAAATAAAAATAACGAATAAATATTATAAATAACTTACCGTTTAATGAAAAAAGAGAAATAAATAAAATGTCTTTAACCAAAACTGAACCAACAGTTACTGAAATTGTACCGAGTAGGTTCTCGGCAAACACAATGACAAACTTACTTAGTTCAGGGTGAAAAAGAGTCAATCAAAAGACATACTATTGAATTATTCATTAGTTTAATAAATATAAAAGCAAGGTCAATCGACAAACCATGTGATTGATTTATAAATTCAGTATTAAATTGGAATAAAAAAAATCAATACAATTAAAGAAAAATTTAGGGTGAATAAAACCCAAGAGGTCATTGTCCTCTATTTTAAATTCACATCAAACAGTATTCAACAGTTACATGAGTTGATTTTAAAGAAATTCAAGAATTATTTTCACGTTGATGTTGAGAATTATTTGCTTCCGCTGTTAGACGTTCCATTAATTCATGGTCATAAGTAGAGTGTAGCATTAATGCTAAGACCCCTGCTCTTGAAGACATTTTATTACGTATCTGTCGTTCCTTCTCAATTAACTCATCCAGTTTCAACCACTGAAACATAAAAAAATGTAATTTTAGGAAACAATACTAAGAAGAGGGGAAGTAGTAACCGCTTTGCTATAAAGTAAGTGTAACCTTATTATTGAGAAAGTAATTTAATGATATAATACAACACCACATGAAAAACAATTCTAAATAAAAATTTTCAATCAACTTATATCAATAAGTATATTTTATAATATATTTATATAGATATAAGAGTAATTTATTTTAAAATGTATTAGAAATATACAGTGACGCCAAACTCATGTCACATGATATGATCGCTTCACTTCTTAAATGGGTGGGTGGGTCGTAGATTTATAACCCATGTATAACTGTATAAAAACTTAACAAAAAAAATTGTATGTATTTTTATATCATATTAAACAACTGAAAAGTTTGGGTGAGTAGGTAGAACAAAAATTTTAAATTTTGCTTCACAAAAAAGTCTGCAAACATTTTTTCATTTTTATTTATTAAAAATATCTAATATCTATAAGTATATATAGCTAAAAAATAATTAAAATATATTCATATTTTTATCATAAATAGAAAATAATTACATAAATATTTAATGAAAATATCAAATATCTACAATTAAATTGAATAATAGGAACTTTTTAGTTTTTGACTCCCAAAGTCCCAAAGTACTAATTAGATATAATTTACTGATAAAAAAAAACACTCAAGTTAAAATTTTAGCATTTTTCTACTATAGTGTCTTAAAAAAAGAGATCATAGTACCTACACTCATTGCTTCATTAAAATCTAAAATTGTGGTACAAGTAAATATATTTTTCTATTTATCTATTAATAATATTGATATATATTCAAAATATTTAACAAAACAATTATAGGTATAAATTTTTTTTTTCTTCAAATGAAATGATTTATCATTGCTTTTAGAAAATGAGCAACCTGTAAACTATCATTTGAAATTTGAATTGAGTACAGTTTCCAAATATATATATATCAATGCATTGAGTGTGTAATAATTTTGTTAATCAGCCCCGCCTGCATGTTCCAATTTGTTTTTACATCATTATCTACTTAATAAACATAATTAATAAAAAATAAATGTAGTTTACCTGGCGAACTCTTTCCATATCAATTTCTGCTCTCCTTAATTTATCCCAACAATAGTGTTTGATGCATGTTTTCTTAGGCACACGGCAAAATTCTCCAGTTAAATTGAAAACATTTGAAACGAGCGGACAACCACATACCTAATACATAAACAAATATGATTAAATATTAGTTCATTAAATTTTGTATTAATACAAAAAATAAGTATACATAAATATACATTAAAAATAAATAAATAACTATAAGTATTCAAAAAATAGTTGTATTATAATCAAAACAAATATGTTTACCTCAGTATCACTAATGACAGTTGAATCTTTAAAATGTTCTGGGCATAAAACTCTTAATCTCTTACAATAAGTTCCTTGCGAAGAATTATAAAAATCACAAAACATATTGTTGCCATCAATTTTAGTTTGGTAAATTGAACCAAATGATGATTGACTTTCATACTAAAATATTTAGATAAAATTATTGAAAAAAACAAAAATAAGTAATTTTATTCATTAATCAATTTTTAAAACAAACCTTATTAAAACATTTTTCCATATGCTTTACAGCAGTTCTTGTATGTATTTCATGTCCACAAGTGACACAATGCATACTCATTTCTTCATCGATATCTTGAACTTCTTGATTTACATCAACAGATAATAATTTTGCTTTTTCTAACAACTTATCAAGCTCCTTAAAATTATATAAAATGTTCATTATATTCAATTGATCTTATTTTATTTTTCTCTCTTTAAAAATTAAACTATAAGCTACATTGTATTGACAAAAATAAGTCTTGTATTATTATTTTTTCTCAGTGTACTTTTAATATAATAAATATAGAAAAATATTAATTCATTATCTTAAACCCCATCTCTAGTTTACCACCAATGCCACCATCTTTAATACAAAATTATAACTGATACAACAATGAAATGTGTATAACTGATGAAATAGTTAAAGTTCAAGATAGTTAATAAATAATTACTTTATGTCTTTTATCCAATTCTTTCAATATGTCTCTAACTTCCAATTGTTCTTTTCTAACTACTTCGAGATTCTTTTTATTTGTTTCTTCTGCAATACATGGCGATAAGCCCCATTCTTGAAGTCTTGGAGGTAATACCTAAAATAATAATTAAAATCAAGTAACTATTTACAATTAATAAATATATGTGTTAGACTTACATGAAAAATTCTAGTATTAGCTAAACTCAAACCACATTTGTCTGAACAGTACTTGGAATTATATCTTGCAATTTGAGTACATCCAGGACCATAACAATGATTACGGTTTAACAATGGTAAACTTATATGATCACCATCAGAACTGGAATCCTTATGTTTTCTCTTAGTAGACTTTGATAAAGACCTATTTTCCTGTAATAAATAACACATTATAACATCACTATTAAGTATTAAATAAAAGTATTTAAATATTTTACTTGTTTATTTATATTTAAACATATTTTATTTTCACATAAATCTGAGCCACCAAATCTTCGCATTTCAGAACATCCCAAACATAAACCACAATTTTCAACTCGCTTACAATTGTCACAACGACCACAAGATCTATGTTTTGGTCGATATTTTTCACGATTATCTAATATAAAAATAATATTATTATAAAATGTTTAATAAATGATTAAATTTATAAATATTATTAGACAGAGATACTATATTAGATTCAACTTATATTTAAATTTATGAAATTTTTATTTAAATTCAAAAGTTTCAAATAGTTAATTATCAATCAGAAATTTAAAACTTTTAAGAAAATATTCTGTGAAAGAACTTTAAACATAAAAGTAAATATTATGTTATTATTTATACTATTATTATTATGTTTATATACATTTACTACTTTTTTACCAAAATAAAACAACCCATTTAAGGATGAGTGCTAATAAACTTAAAATGTATTTAAAACGAAAAAAAATTATACAATACAGATGCAATAAATTAATGCCCCTAAATAATTAACCAGATCCAAATGCTGATAATACATTTTTTAATAAATTAGACTAAGTTAATAGATTTTATAACATAATTTATTTACCTCGTTTGCTTCCAACATAATGAACATTTTTTTCTTTGAAATCACTACGACTTAATGATGTTTTGAATATTGTTTTCAATGAAGGATCTTCTGATTTACATTTCTAAAATAATATAAATAATATAGTAATAGTATTACAATAGTATAATCTATAAAATTATAATAAATTTATTATGAACATACATCACAAAAATAATGCTTGATGAGTTTAGACTGCTTTCTTGTTATTCCAATACAATCACCATGATACCAATCTTCACATGCATCACATCCACTATAATTAATAAAATATATTCAATATATAAATAAATATATACATTCACTATGGTTCTGAAGTAAACAATTTTAAAATATTTTTAATAAAATTAGGAAAAACATCTTTTAAAAATACAATTTGAATAAAGTAATCTGTACTATATAAAAATAAAATTATTAAGTTTTAATAGGTACTTACATCATAAATCTAGAACTGTCTGATGATCGACAAATGCAATACGCTTGTCCATCTTGTTTAAGTAGAGTTGCAATTTTAGATTTACGCTCTGGGAGCATAAACTGCTTAGCAATTTCTTCTTTCTACAGTATAATAAACACATTGTAAAAGAGTAGTAGTTATATTTAACTTCAAATAAATATTAAATGTAGTTATACTTACAGATAGTCGAGGCATATTATCGATAAAATATATTTAAACTCTGAGATTTTAATTTATTATACCAGCAATCTCTTTAAAATGTAACTAATCACAGATTAAAGAGTAAAGAAATTTAGTATTTGCAGCCTTAAGATGTAACAAACATTAGAAAAATAAGCAATAGCAAATAGAAATCACTGATACTATTAATTATCAACAAGCGATAAGCGAGTAGTCATAACTCGTAGGCCATAACGTACAACTATGGAAATTATAGAATAATTCTCGCCTACCACTTATTGAACACTGATTAATGATTAGTAGAATGGTTACAAATTATAATAGATTTGCATATTTATTATCTATTAAACTCAGATTTAAATACGGTTCGCGTCGTAATTGGTACCACAACCAAACAAAACTTCAAGCAAACAAACTTTGAACCCAGCGCTCTCCGTGTTCAATATACCGTACTAACAAATTTCCCGCACTTAAAAATATTTTAAATATATTTTAGATGGGAGCAATTAATGCATTTATTTTACAATGATACGTGTTCAAATTTAAATGCAAGGTTGAGAAGATTCTTAATGTGTATAGTTCATACTGACACCAAAAAATATAAAAATATATAAACACAATTACTTTATTGATATTTTAAATTTATATTTCCGAAGTACTATTACTGAATAGTTTCTTGAATCAAAACTGCTAAGCTCTTTTATTTTTTCTTTCAAACACGTTCATCCATCGGCCATCACCACTAACAAACACATAAGTGACAATTATAATATTTCTAATACATCCGATTACTGTCATCGTTAAGGTCGAATTGTATTTAATGCACAGCATTATAATTTATTCTGTAGTTTAACACGAAGCTATTATTATAGATGAAACAAAAATTTGTATTAAAAATGGTGGTTGTGACTTATGACCAATAATTTAATCTAAAAAGCAAAAGTATAACGGTAGGTATATTTTAAATAATTTGTATCTACTGCGGAAGACAGCTTGCATATTGTATATATACAGATAGGTATTTTAAGTATAGTCATATTAAAATAATATCGTCTAGCCGGTTTGATTAAAATATAGTAGATATTATCTACATCACAAAACCAATGGTAGAATCTTCAACTATAATAATATTGTCTATAACTGTGTACCTACTACCCACATCTAACTTGTGGTTGACTATCATATTATTCATATTATTATATTTCCTAATAAATTGATAATGTTCGTGTCATAGTTAATTACAACTCGTGGTGATACATAAACGCACATAGGGTTATCTAGTAAAATCAACTTATGCTAGCTATACGGTCGTCTTGCAATAACGGCCAACACTATATAGCCGAATAGCTAAAATATTTTGATCATTTCATATTATTATCATTCAACATCCGACACGAGTGTAAAGGAACTAAACACAGTAACTATACTTTAAACGAACTCAATAATAAGTATGACGAAGTCCGAATCTCTAAAGTACCAAGACGACTAACAATTAATATTATTATAAAATATAAATACCCTACCTATTAGGTTAAGTTAACGCGCGGTATGACGAGAGATACGCATACCTGTACACATTAGGTGTAGATCGTCCGAAAAATACAAGTGGGCCAGGGCGAGCGGCAACACGAACAGCGACGAACAGTACAACAGCCCACACTTGCCCATTCGCCTTTTGCAGGCGTTCAGTTTCCGCTTGGAGAACACGCCGTGGGCGGCCGTCAGCAGATCGTTGAGCAGCACGAACGCACACCCTTCGGCGTTCAGTTCGACGTCGTTGCCGGCCGCAAGCACGGCGTCGTCCACGGACGTTTTGACGAACGGGTCGGCGTGACGCGCAACAGATAGTATTCGCCCGCCATGGTCATCGCCCAGGTTCTTGAACTTGGTAAACGTGCGCAAGCTCAAGCCCTAGATGGCGGCCAGGCTCAGTTCGGTGTGTATAGCCCAGGTGGATGAGCGACGTCGGCGAACGCGCGCCACCCGATGTCCGGGAACCTGACCCGGCCCAACCGATTGGCCGCGTACAGCGCGGTGACCGTGGCGAGCATCTGGCGCGCGACCAAGAACCGGTACGAAGGGAACCAGGTCCGGACTGGGAGGATACCGGCCTACTATTCTCAGTAAGCAGGCGGCCTAAAGGCCCGTAAATACAATAAAAAAACCTTTCTTTTTTTTTGTTGCTCATCAATTATTTAAAAAACTTCAAGTATTTTATTACAAAATTGAGGATTACGGCACACTGTGCTGAAGAACAGTAGCACAGTGACCCAGTCCGGGCATGACGGGAACCCATAACCGGTCAATGTGAACTTGTTGAGTGTTGAGTGTTGACGATCGTGATCAGCGTCGACACGACAGTGTACGGCAACGCCGTGCCGACTTTGGCAATACCGCTCGCGTCTTCCTTCGTTGCGGTGGCGTTTGCGCTCCGCTGCATTTTTTTATTGAAATATTATGCAACGATTCAAAGGCCTAGTCGAGCTGTATCTACTATGTCTTATAATGACGTTTTGCAATAAAAAAACTAGTTTTTTTTCTACATGATTATTTTATTCAACTGCACTATTATATCATATATGTATAGGTACTTGACAGTTTTAATTTTAACAATAGACAATATAGGTTTGTGTAGGTACTTAAAACTTAAATTAATCGATAGAAGATAAAACGGAAATTTTGTTAAAACAAATATTGATTTTTTTTAGTTGTAATCAAATAAATGAATAATATAAAGATTTAAATATTTTATAAAATTAGCATCTTCTAGACTTGTAATAATTTTAAAAATATTTTGGACCTTTTTGTGGTACTTAAAGACATTTAAAATGTTCAAGTTTTAAATTTTTTTTCGATTAAAAAAAAAAAAAATAAAATAATGCTTATAGTCACAATTCTTTTCTCTCGATTGTTAACTGATAAGTTCAACTTTTATAAAATCATAAAAAATATAAATTATTTAGTATGGTTAAAAATACCTAAAAATTAAATAAATACCTATACCTAAACAAGAATAGATTATAAATCATATTTCATAGTATATATATACATATATTAAAGACCAACAGTATATAGGCTTAATACGTTTAATTTGTATATGTAAACATCGAGTATGTTCATAGGTTATAATGGTTTTATAGAGTGTATCAAAAATAGTATTAGAGTTTCAAAGAGCTGTTATCAAAACTGTAAATCCAAAAAAAACAATTTTTGAACTTATTCTCTACATAATATTATCTTTTGTTGTATGTTATGAGAGGGTACTCCTCTGGAATAATTCTCATCATATCTAACCAATATTCAACCGGTTTTTAAACCTTTGTAGAACACGGGGTGTCTGATAAAAAACTTTTAGAAATCTCTTAAATCTCTTATAAACTTTTTTTAATCTTCAGAATAGGTACCTTTTTTATATAAAATATTTCACGACTTATTTTATGTGAAATACGTACCTTTGACATGATAATGTCGCGAACCACAGTTTAAAAACCACTATTTTAGTTCATTTCTATTATTATATGGGAAATACAGTGGTGATCATCGTTTTTAATTCTTCTAACTTTTGAGTTCTAAGGTATTGCATGTTTGAATACATACCTACTTTTTCCCATAACCCCTTCAGCATCTTCTAACAAAAAAAGCGCCACATAAACTTATGTTAGATATAAGTAGACGAAGTGGCACCAATCACTATGTATAAGTATTGTGGATACAATTTTTAATTAAGGTGGGTGGTGGACGACGACAGTCACTAGTCAGTAAGAATAGTAAGTTATAAATATTTTAATTTAAGTAGATGCACACAACTTGTACTGTATTTTAGTGAAACAGGTACAGTTAAAAAAACAGTTTACCGGTACTTTCTTCCTCAAATATTGTTTATGTAGTACCATTAAAAACTGTCAATGGTACCACTGAGTAGGTAAATATAGGGAGTTCAGTGTTAAAATGATAAATCATTATAGGTAGAATTTTTAGCCTTTTAGGAGCAAGTTGGTTATAAAATTGTACGTTTGCATTTAGTTCAGGTGTTTCAACGATGAAGTAAGCCGGTAGAGGTTTGTAGTCATCGATCTCCATTTAATAGATATAAATATAATACATGATTATAAAATATAAATTATTATATATTAAACAAAGATATTAGGTTTATTATAATCACCACTAAGTATAATATTGTTACTGTATAATTTATTAATTTTATTTTAAGCGGTAGACAATGGAGATCAACATGAAATATTTTTACCTACATAAGCAAGTAGGTCAAAATCCACTGTTATCAATTAATAATAAATATTTTAAAACTATTTATTATAATAAGCATAATAATTCCATTTTTACATAATATCTACACTAATACCACGCACTACATTATTGCTCAAAACTCCCATTTTCTCTAATTTACTAACTTCATCATATTGTTGTAAAGTATAAATCTATTATTTATTTAGAATTTTTTTGTAATATGAACATTATTTTATTTTTTTTTGGACATGTCAATAAAAAATTTATTTTGTAGAAAGAGTTAGGCTCTTAAACTATGCTCACCCCCACCAATAATCCAAGCTTAATATTGTGTAGAAGTACACAAATATTTTAAATATTAAAATTATTTTAATCTATATTTAAGGTCAAAAATACAATTTAAGTTTTAATAATTAATCAGCATTCACTTACTCAAGTGGGCAACTTTCATTAGGGTAAACAACCCAAAATAACATATCATTTGGGTGAATATACGTTTTCCTTCCCATTTTTAAAGACTTAAGACTCTCAGTTAACTTTAACTGGTATGGTTAAAAATGTATTATATTCTCATTTAGTTTATTATAATATTATATTTATTATCTCAGTTAATTTTTTTAATTATATATAGTATCTCATAACTATTTGTTTAATATAATCTATTATTGTTAATATTCTGTTTTAAAATTAAATTAAATCCAGTTCTAATTTTGCCAATTTTGAGTTTAGAATACAAATCGATAGATCAGAATTACTTGGGAACAATTTATCTATTTAAAAATTATATTCAAAATACGAGTTGTCAATAAAAAAAAAAAAAAATGAAGTTATGTTGCCCATGCATGAAATACTGAAGTTAAAAAAATTATAAGTCATAGGAATCTATGATCCATTAGTCTAGTTAAATGTCCCGTAACAAAATTTAAAAATATTTTTTTGATAATGACTTATAAAGTGTACCCTGTTTCCGTGGACATTATGTCTATTCTATTCATATAGACATATTTGAATATTATAAAAGAAATGATAAAATAAAATAAAAGTTAACATAGAAGAATGAAAATATATTATTATTATTATGCAGTCATAAATAATAATACACAACTTTAAAAAAATTTAACTGTATAAAAAAAAGGGTCAATCTTTTATCATTGACTATCAATCATTTATATTTGATTCATTTATTATACATTGTAATACTTACACACTATTACATGTTATATGGAGTTCCACAAGGCACAAACTTGAAAACAAATTTTCTTTCAATCTATTATTTTTTTTAAATATAAATATAATAAAGTTTTAAATTTCATAAATAAAAAGATTAACTTCTCTTATTTACTAACAAAATTATATGCTCTACAAATAATTACTATAAAAATAGTCAGATATATACAATCATTAATTTATCTTAGTTGTTAAGTTAGAAAAATTATTTTTAATTATTTTACATGAAGTTAAAATTTGTATCAGGTATCTAAATATAAAAAGGTAGTTTTCTACCTTTGGAAGATGGAATAGCTCCAGTTTTTCTAAGCCGTCGTACAGCTTCTCTCAAGTGTTTGGGATGTAATGGTCCTGAATCTTCTTGAGCTTCCATTATGTCAAGAGCTAATATGAAAAACGAAAACCCAATTAAGAACTGTGACTATACAATTATAAGTAAACGTTTTTAATTACCTTCTTCAACTATTTCACCAATGAAAACTTTTGCAATACCTGACATGGCAATTACAACATTTTGTGAAACCGAATTTCCAGTAATGGTTTGAACGATCTAAGAATTTAATTATTTAATAAATTTATATTTGCATAATTATTAATTATAGTATTGATAAAATGCGAATGAAATAAATATTAACCCGTTTAATTGCTGCTTTAGGAAATACTGATCTTCTGAACATTTCATATCTATCCAATTGTTCTTCGGTGAAGTTGGATACAAGAACTCTAGAATGATCATTCAATGTAATACAAAATCATCATATTAATGTTTGATGGTATATACCTCATTTTTTCTCTTTCTTCTGCTTCAATTTGTTTTTTACTTTTATCCTTCTTTTTTTTCCCAAATAGATCAGAAGAATTATGTTGGTCATTTGATCTTTTTGGTTCTGGAGCTAAAAACAAATCTTCTTGTGTGAAGTCTTTATAACTAGACAATTCCATTTCTTGATCTTTATTAAACATCATATTCTCCATTTTATATTTTAAGTATTATAATAATTATTAATAAAATAGAAGTTTTGCAGCTTTGCTTAGCGTTAAAATACGATCTAAATGTCTATAAATAATAAGTTATTTACTTCTGAAAAAATACTGCTATAATAGTTAGTAGTTACTATCAAATATCAAAGTATCAAAATGACAAAATATAAATAATATAATAAATAATAAATACCATTATACCATTATATGAAATGATAGTACACTGTACACTGTACAGAATATAAAAATACTGTGGTTAAATATTGCGTACTACGACCGTGGTTAAATATTGAAAATTATCAATAGATTTTGGGAACCTCTGAAGCCTTGATTCTCTTATCAAATATTGCTTGCGGAACATACATCTTATTATCTCAAATTCTTTAATTGGAATTGATAATACATAATATAATTATACTTTATGGAAACTATGATCAATTTAATTATACATACAATTCGGAGATCCATGTAAAACTTTTTTGTTTTAAACTTAAAATTACTATTCGATACCTGGTGACAACTGATATTCGATTTACTTTTATTTCATACTACAATGTACAATACACCGTATAATTAATGTTCGAAACGGTTTTAAAGTTTGTTTTACTTGATATTTGCTGTCTGTTGCTAACTAATACGTTTAACATTTTATTACTAAGCACTAAATAAAACTATATATTTAACGCATTTTAATGCTCTAAGACTTAAGTATTTAAAATTTTTGCTAATATTATTCTTATCAAAATGTTGCCTTCTAAAGGATATTTTAAGTCTCTTGAATGTCCTTATTACACGGAATCATTTTGCGATCGACCATATTGCCACTTCAAGCATAGTAGACAAGACTTTTTATCTGATTCAAAATGTCAAATTGCCACTGAATCGAAAAACAAGCCTGTTGTCAGTATAACTGATGAACCAAAGGTTAAATCAAAGTTGCCTGAAGAACCAAGATTAAAACAAAAGGTAAAGTCTAAAATTATTGAATATATACCTCAACCTATTAAGCCAAAGAATTCTGAATTAGGTGTAAAATATTCTACTTATGGATCAACTACTGAAATGAGTAAAATAGACAGTCCTATACTTGAATATATACCTTCATGTGTCAATGATACAAATTTAGATTTTAAACTTGAAAATTTTAAAAGTAATAATGAATTAAATGGAAAAGAGGAGCAAACAAAGTCAATTAACTATATTGAAGGAATTTCAACAACCTATAATATTAGTACAAAGCAGAATACCAATATTTCAGAATATATACCTACTGTTATTGAAAAACTTTCAGATAAAACTAATAATACTGAAGATAAAAATCACCATGAACACAGATCATCTTCAAAACGTAAACACGAGTCTTCAAAAAAATCTTCAAGTAGATCTAAAAAACCTAAAAGAGATAAATCTTCAGAACATAAAAAAGATAAAAAAGACCGAGATAAGGAGAAAAAATGTGAAAAAAAACATTCAAGAGATAAAAGTAATGAGAGTATTAATCTCAACAAAATAAATACATCTACCATTTCTTCTGGCCCAAAGTCTTTAAGGGAAACAGTTATGGAAAAGGTACAGAAAAAGTTGGTTAAACTTGATCCTTTACAATCTGATATCCACAGTTCAAGTGATGAAGGAAATGATCCATCAACTTCATTAATTGAATCAAGTTTAAACGAATTTTTTGGTTCAGACGATTCTGATAGTGAGCAGAAATCATGTAATGTTGTAGCAGCTAAAGTAAAAAAACGAATATCTCATATTTCCCCAACAAGCATATTTGCACAAATTAATGCGAAAACAGTTTTGAGACCAAAAACTACAAAGTCACTTCATGAAATAGTAGCAAACAGAGTACTATCTATTCAAAATAATGCTATTGAAGGTCGCTCAAGTATTACTACTAAAAATTTAAATAGCGATCCTAGTTTACCATTGTTAAAGACTAAAACACGTATTGCCCATCAGTCAAAAATTGAACCAAGTACTACAGAAACTCAAACATCAAATAATTCAGGTACAGTGAACAAAGAAATAACTGCAAATATAAAATTGAATTTGAGAATAAAATCGTTTAAAACTAGTAACAATATGCCAAATCCTTTACGCCAAAGCTGTTTAGAGAAACTCTACACAGCTTTCAGCAATCATTATTCATCTGAAGAAGCAATTAATAAAGCTCATACAACTGAAGAAGAAGTTCACAGTAAAGCAAAATCATCAGGAATTTATAGAAATCTTATTGTTCAATCTTTAATGAAAGCTAATAAATCACCTCAATTACAAGTTAAAAGTAATCCCTATTACCCTTCACACATGCATGGTGTATGTCTATATGATTTATTAAAGAAATACATTCTAACAAAAGATGATTTGGAAAAAAATGGTTATCCACTAATAGATGATAATAAGTTGGTATTTATTTCTAAAAATGCCTATTACTATCGACCACTTTCTAAAAAACGCAATGGTGATAAATTTGTGTGTATGAATTGTAGAAGTGAGTTTGAAGTTGATAAGCGTGGTATGCCTATAGTTACATTAACCAAATGCACTTATCATTCAGGCAAGTTAAAATTTGAAAGAGCAAAAAATGAAAAATTTTGGTTATGTTGCTACAAACGACAACACGAATCTGGTTGTGAATCAAGTATTTATCACATGCCTGATAAGTTTGATGAAGATGCCTTGGAGAATTTTGTTGTGACTAAAAGTAAAAAATCTGATAAAAATTCTGAAGTACCCAATTTTTATGCTTTAGATTGTGAAATGGTTAATACAACATTTGGTATTGAAATTGTTCGAGTCACAGTCATCAATCACGAAGGAGAAGAAGTGTATGAATCCAAAGTGAAACCTTTTAATACTATACTTGATTATAAATCTAAATACAGTGGAATAACTGAGGAATCATTAAGATATTGTACAAAGAGATTGTCTGACGTTCAACAAGATTTGTTGAAGATATTTGATAAAGATTCAATTTTAATTGGTCATAGTTTAGAAAGTGATTTAAAAGCATTAAAAATGGTTCATTACAATGTAGTAGATACTAGCATTATATATCCCCATAAATATGGACCTCCATATAAGTGGGGTTTGAAGTTATTGGCTGAACAGCATTTACAAAGAATTATTCAAAGTGAAGAGGGTCATGACAGCAAGGAAGATGCTTTAGCTTCACTGGATTTAGTTTGGAAGAAGTTAAAGGAGGATGTGAAGAAATTCAAACCAATTAATATAATTAGTATAGATAAAAGATAGTTGGTGAAATTCACTAAAATTGTTTTTATGATGGATTTTACATTAAATATGGCCTTAAAAATAATGTGATCTCAATATAATTTAATTTTATACTAAAATGTATGATACTTATGAGCAATAATGTAAGGAAGAATACTCAGTATTATTTACTGGAGGTTATATTTTTAAATTATAAATATGTTAATATTAGTCAAACATTTAACTTTAAATAAATAAGGTGGACAGTTTCTATTTAATAAAACCAGGTAAAAATTTTGGTTTGTACCTTTATATAGTGTAACGTAATTTTAATAAAATTATTTTTTTGTGATAGTTGATTAATCATGTATAATTTATATTGAATTATATATTTTGGTATTTTTCAAAATTATATATTATATTTAAATTTTGTTATATTGATTTTTAATAATTTAATACTTAATCACTTTAAAAAAAAAAAAACCAATAATATGTTAATATTTACCAATCATCCAGTTACTTTATCATATCACCAATATTTATCATGAATTCTGATAATGACTTTTTTGGTATTTGGTGCAGTAAGTCGTGTTCACAGATATATCTGTGGTCGTGTTACAGAATAATATTCTGTGGTTGTGTACTTATGTTATCTACACGCAGTAAAAATATTTATCAGAAATTTAATCTAAGCCGCACGTTATAATTATTATTTATTATCATTTTTTCAAGAATTTGATTTTTGACTACACATGTTTAATTATTAATTAGTATATTCGCATTGTCAATTGTCATTTGCCAATAATCATCGATTAATTACTTCATAGTTCTTACTAATAAATTACTATTTAAAAGTACTATACTTTTATTGTTAAAGTTCAAAAATTATTGTAACATCTTCGAAAATCATGTCTGTTATGTTGGGTACTATTGATGAACATTCTATCACTGAGTCTTTTAGTCTTACTAGTCGTTTTTTCCCATCCAAAGTGGGCGGAAAACCAGCCTGGTTAGATTTAAAACATATTCCAGAAGCAAGTGAGCTGGCCTGTTTGAAGTGTAATATTCCTCTAGTTTTTTTGTGTCAGTTATATGCACCAATTGATGAACCTAAATTCCGTGGTTCTTGTTTCCATCGAACTTTGTACGTGTTTTATTGCAATGAATGTAAAGATGGAAGAACATTTTCCGTCTTCAGGTCACAGCTTCGTAAAACAAATGAATACTATTCAGATGAACCAGCTGAACCTGATGATTCAGATATTACACCTGCAATGTGGGGAATACAATTATGTAAAGTAAGTATTCATGTTGTGTCTCAAGTGTCATAATTTATTTTATCTATCTATTTATGTTTTTGATTTGATTAAAAAATTGGTTTAAGAAAAGTATTTTTTTTGTGTTATTTGAAATGTTTATTTAATTTTAAGGTATGTGGATGCAAGTCAAGTATGGAATTTGAAAATGTCTATTGCAGTTTACACCATAAAAATATTGATTTAAACAGAGAATTGAAAGACAAGTAATGTATTGAATATTTATTGATTTACTTTTTTCATCTTAACATTATTATATTATGATATCTTTACCATTAGATTCATTGTAGTTTTACCAGAATATATTATTAATGAAGAGTCTGATGAAAGTTCAGAAAATGCATCATTGAATAGTGAGGATGATGAAAGTGACTGTAGTGAAAATAGTGATGAAGCCGCTCATATTCCAAAAGGATCTCTTCAAGGTATTATATATTTAAATTATTTTCTGGCATATTATTTCTTAATTTATGATATGTTTCGTATAGATATGGATGGTTTAGATGAAGCTTTGTTAGAAATGGCTTATGGTGGTGACAAAGATGATGAGTATTTTGAAAAGTTTAAAAAATCAATATCCTCAGTTCCTGAACAAATTATTAGGTATGTTATATCTAAAAATATTAATTTGAATTATTCAATAAAAACATTGTAGGTACAATCGCTTAGAGTCACCATTGTGGATCTGCACTAAACGCATTCCTGAGATTAATGATATTCCATCTTGCCAATATTGTGGTAAACAAAGAAGTTTTGAGTTTCAAGTATGTTAAATTTAAACTAAATTACCTTATAAAGTTTTAAATTATTATTTTATAATATTTTTAGATAATGCCACAAATTTTGTACTATTTAAAATTACCAGAATCTTCAACCAAGGAATCATTCAACTTCGGTATTTTAGCCGTCTATACTTGTCCTGAAAGTTGTGATGCTGGTGAAAAATACAAAAAAGAATTTTTGTGGGAACAGAGTCCATTATGATAAAATAAATGATTATTTTATAAGAATAATTAATATTAACAAAGATTATTATTTTTACATTAATTATTTATAATGTATGTAATTTAATGATCTAGACTTATAATTAAATTTTCTGAAGTATTTTGATATTATTTAATATAATTTATGTTCATTACATTTGATAATCAATTTTTCACAGTCAAAATTTAAAGTATATATTGGCTGAAGCATATTAACTTAATTACTGGTTAATTGTTATTGTCTACGATTAAGATATTATAATAGGTTTGTATTGAGATTTTTGGAAATCAGAGGGGAATGTGGTTATTAAGAGTCCCTATTATGGTTTTTTAAGTAACAATAACACTAATGAAGTATTTAGTGTATGCAGAGCTTCTATGGGAGATAACTAAAACTAGTAAAAATAAACTACTATAATAGTTTAGTAGATTTAAATTTTAATGAAATTATTTTCACATTTGACTTAAGTATCCCTCAAGCTACGAGCAACCAAGTAGTGAAAACCGGAACTGTAAAAGTATTATAAATTATAATCATTAATGTTTATTATATCATAAGTGAAAACAAGATATTAATAAAAATAGCCTGAGATAGAACAAATATAAAAATATTTTAACACATATCAACATTGAATAAATAAATAAGTATTACTGTTTAATTAATGGTATTAGTTACAAATTACATATTTATCTAGAGTGTAGACTTTAAAGGTCTAGTCGATACATTTAGCAACTGAAATAGGCATGTTAATCTTATCAAACACTTGGATTTTGAACTACACATAAATAATAATTTACACTCAAAAGTAAATATAGCCCGTATAGGTATAACATATAAATATTATTAATATATATTTCATAGTATATATCTGTAATTTATATACCATACAAAGAAAACCTCCCCAATTCGTGCAGCTATACGCCTGTACATTGTACAACACTCAAATAACTTGGAAGTTAAGAGTTTAGAAAATCTTTAATCCTGTGTGCCGCTGCTTAGCCTGCTATCTAGTGGTGAAAATCACGGAAGAAAATATTTTGTTGATAAATGATTACATTTATACTGATAGGCTAACTATGTAGTAACTTGTGATAATGTGTATTCAAACACGTGCTTACTGATTAACTGCTTATAATAGTTAGTATTGTTAATACGTGTATACTTAATACTTTATTCTGTGTAGTTGCCAGTGGCTTATTGACTTGATTATAAATGACTTAAAGAGTAAGTTGTTTACTATATTTTAATTTGAAATTATTGGTTTATTGTGTACATTTTTAAATTATATTAAGTATGTAGTATAAGATTGTATTCTAATATAAAATTTTATTAATATTTATATAGAAGAATTTAATTAGTATAATAATGGAAGAAGAAGTAACTCAAGAAGAAGTAATCCAGCCAGATTTTACTACACAAACTAAACAATTGCTTAAAGATATCAAAGCTGGGATCTTGGAAGCCAAAGATTCGACAAATAAAATTATTAGCAAAGAGTTTGATGCATCTAAAGGCATAAGCTTATTAGATATAAAGTGTCATACATTGTTGAGTTATATAAATAATTTGACTTATATTATATTAAAAAAATGTAAATTTCAATCTATTAAAAATGATCCAGCGATTGAACGTCTTGTTGAACAACGAACTGTTCTAGAACGCATAAGGCCTCTTGAATTTAAAATGAAATATCAAATTGATAAGCTTGTTAAAACAGCATTATCTGGTTCCATTGATCCTAATGATCCAGATCGGTTCCGTGCTACTCTTGATGAACTAGCTGATGCAGAAGATAATATAGAAGAAGATGAAGAGTCTGATAATGATGAAGCTGGTCATAAGAAATCAAAAAAAGTTAAGGATGGAGTTTATGTAGCACCTAAAGTTACAGCTGTACCTTATGATGGTGATGAATCACGAGCAGTTAAAAAACAAAAATTATTAGAAAGAGCAAAAAAGAGAGCTCTACAAAGTTCAGTTATGCAAGAATTACGAGAGGAATATGCAGATACACCAATTGAAGTGCAAATCAATACAGTTGGATTGAAAAATAAGCAGTCTAAGTATGATTACGAAAGACAGAAATATGAAGAAGACTATTTTACAAGGTATAAATTAATATTTACACTTAAAAAATCAATGGCTGTTATAATTTTTATAGTTTTTTTTATCTACCTACAAAATATTATTTTTTCTAGGTTGCCAGTTACCAAGAAAGATAAACATAGAGCTAAGCAATTATCATCAATTACTCTTGGAAAATTAGGGAAAGAAGTTACACACTTTGAAGATATTTCAGCTCTTGGAGGAAATTTCAGTGAAAAAAGTGGTAATAAAAGAAAAAAGAAATTTAAAGGAAAAAATTTAAAGAAGAAAAGAAAATTTTAAGTTATTATTTTAATTATGTTTTATTACCTACATTGAATTAAATTAATATTAGAATTTCAAATTCCTGTGTTTTATTTGTGTATTCTTGATGATTTTATTTTTGTATTATTTTGATTATACAATGATGTGTATTTATATTTTAAATAATATAAATCATTTTTGAATATTAATAGAATAAAATAAATACATATTTCTTGAGGTTCAGATAGCATATTTTCTAAATAAAAATTAATAAAACTATACAATTATTAAGCCTCACAACAAAAATATCAATATTAGTTTTTTAGTATTTATACTATATTCTGCCCCTAAACAGCATGTGATTACTTTGTAGACTGGAAGTAGCTCCACATGGATATTTTTTTTTCAATCAGATGATTTATGGACTGTAGTATGTGGTTTTGCAGTAAAAAATGACTAATTTGATTTTTATTTAGTATTTACTCTGTAGATACATCTAGAATTAATCTTTGGATATTCATTTATTGTAAACATAATTTAAAGGTAGAATTTATAATTCTAATTATTATATTATGAATTTATCTTGTTTTTTTGGTTACATTTTGATATTAAATGTATATGTACTCTAGTCTAGTGGTTTACAAATTTGAGGTTGCAACCAAAAAAAAAAAATGTTGCACGTGCTTTTATAGAAAGGAAAAAAGAATGAAAAAAAAAAATAATGAAATAATAATTTCATAGTATTTTTGTTTTAATAATATTTTAATTTAATTTTTATAATACAATAAAAACTATTCTCATAAATATCAATTTTTATATTTTATTAGTTTTTATGGTTTTATACAGATACCATACCTTTTAACTGTAACTATTAAAGCAATAACTAATAGCTAGTAAATAAAATGCTACCAAACGGCAAACACCAGTATTGTTTCTATTCTTAAATAATATTCATAGGAGCAACAAGGGTCAAACATCTGAGGAGGCTAAAAATATGTTTACAAGTCTTGTTTAATCCAAAAATATTCTACTTCCCCCTACATAAACATTTAACAGTGGCTTGATTAGGAGTGTTTTTAAAAAGGAATGTGGCAAAAATTCAAAACATTAAATTATTTGTAAATACCTAAGGTATGTTTAGATAGTACAATTTTTAGTAACTGGGTATTAATTCAGTAAAAAAAGCTGCATACTCATAATAAACATATAATAAAGTGACATAGCTCAAGGAGAATATCATAACCTCCAAACACCTTTTTAAAATATATTAGTTATACAAAAGAGAGTGAAATTAGTATAAATTGAGAGCTTAAAAAAATAATACACCTATTTATTAATAAAAAGTATTGTGAATTATGAATAACAATGATGTTTCAAACAAAATCATAGGTATTGAATAGAAAATACTTTCTTATATTAAAATAAATATGTTAAAGTTTAAAAACATTAATTCAAGTTGCATCATTAATATAATTATATGATAAATACAAAGAATCATTTTTTAAATTATCCAAGCATAATAAATTGACAATATTATTATTTTATATTACCTAATGTAATACGACTAATACATCTATCCTTTTTTGAAAAATTATCAACAATGAACCAAGTGTAGATTAGATTAGCAATACCTATCTCTTTCTATACATTAAATAGATAAATAACTAAATTTTGTTTGTCTCATACTACTTCTCAACCAATTTTTAACACATCTCATTGAGAAAAATTAATGTTTGCATGTAACTGAAGCCTGAATTATTGAAATAGTTGCTGAAATTTGTAACAGCTTATACAATTTTGGATAGATATGTTTTTCAACAACTTTATAAATCATTAAAATCAAAATCATTTTTTGAGTCTTTTAAAGAATTATGTGAAATTACCATTTCAGACTTTAAACTGTCAATTGAAGTAGGTATTTACAACATCCTAAAATAAAAAAAGATTATAATAATTAATAATTATAAATCTTGTTACAAATAATTTACTGATAAAAGAATTATTTCAGACAACAAATCATTTTAGTATTAGTATATTAGAATTCAGAATTTGTTAAGCAATGCTATATTTATCAATAATTATTTTTACTACTTTATAATGATTAATAAAGTACCTAGGTACAATGATTTTATATAGTTAAAATTACAAAATGAATCATATGAATTTTTCATTAACAAACTTTCATTTAAAAATCTAGTAATTCTAGACTTACTGTTGATAATCTAATTCATTTTTATAAAAAAATATTCTACTTTATATACCTAGGTATTTATATTCTATTAATTTCAATGAAATACAATTTAATCATAAGAATAATTTTAGAAATAAGTTTATTTACTTAGGTACCTTTAATATAGGTCCTATAGACCTAAGTCTAAATTTCCAAGATCTGTATCTAAAATTCTAAACTACTTGCAAATGTTGAGCTAGATACAGGAAAAAGGGTTTATCGATGGGTTTGTCCTGGATGGTTTCTATTTGAGTGCAACACGAATCTAAATTTTGGATCGTCTAATAGTTGATAATTTTGTTTTGGAATATCCACATTGTAAACAGAAATCTTCTTTTTTTGTAATTTTATGAAATTTAAAAATATCAAATACCTATTTTTTTTATCCGCTGTACCTAATAAAAAAAAAAAAAACTATTACACTTTACAATAAAAATATAAATGAAAAATAGATATTAATTAATAAATGATAATGATAATCGTTAATATGGCAATAATAAACAATTAACAATTAATAATACGATATTATAATATACAGACTTCAAAGTACAAATTAAAGAAACAACTATAAGTCTAGGTATTATACAGTGCTTAACTATTGAACTATATAGTAATTACACAAGTGTCACGTGTTTTTTTGCTTTCGATAAAATTTTTAATTATCGATTAACATGGAATATAGATTACAAACTGTATCAACCTTCACCGTAATTGGGTTGTCATTTTAGCATAAATCTAAAAATAAATACGATACGTATTGGAAATATAACTGATGAGCTGTAATAGATGTGTTATAAATAAACATCAATAAATTATTTATTTATTTTGTTAGTTGTAATTAAATACTTACAATAATTTTAATACGCTTTATGAAAAAACTAGAGGGCTATGAGCTATGAATAAAATTGGGGAACCTAAGTTCCTCCAATGTCCCCCCTAATTAAGCTTATGATTATACTTACTTACCTAATACAATATATTGTGTATGTTACCAGTTACTATATATTTTACTGGTCTTAAAATATTATATTAAATTTTCGCACAATTAATTTTGGTATTATTCGTATTATTTCGAGTATTTTGTACTAGTACTTCTGTGTTCGTAATAATATTTTAAGGACAAACATTATTGTTAGTCGCCGTACAAAACTAAATAGGAGAGACCGATGATATTATAATTGACCCATTTTACGCTTATAGTTGGTCTCACTTAATATAAACTTAATATAATTCTAAAGTTAGTTTGTTATCGTATTAATTGTTCAATTATTATTGAAAAATTGTGCTCCCCATAAAGTAAAATCGAAGAGAGTAAAATATTAAAATAGGTAAATAAAAAAAACGTAAAAAAGACTGTTTAAACATGCAAAATGGGGGATGCGGTGCAAATCGAAAAATCCTCATTATAAAATATTATATCTATACGTAGGCAAGGGCGCCCGCAAAAATATAAACCGGTGGTTGGCGAGGCAAAGTCAAAAGTATAAGACTATAATATGATAATATTTAAGTAATGCAAGTAAGTAATAAAACAATTAATATTTAATATTAACTAAAATAGTGTGGGAAGCATGCCCCCTCCCCGGGTCTCACTTGCGGGCGCCCTTGTGTATAGGTGATTCAATATATGAATAATAACTATGGTAAAGGCGTGTTTGGAAAGATAAACGGGTCCGCGAAATCCTAATGCTGGCCGATTAGAATAATCATCGTGAATACTCACTGCTGGCTAGTGATATAAAGAATGCTGTATACTCGTCGTCTGGGAGAATTCAAAATTCTCGACGACGCACCGTCGTAACGATAGTCGTCGTCAGCGCCGCTGTCGGAGCTGGAAATCAGGTATCGCCGGGGAGGAATCGTTGCCTTCGTTCGTACTGCTCAGTCGGTCGTCGTTTCGTCATCGTCCGTCGTCGCTCAACGCCACCAAAGCAGCCGGGCGCCCACCGAACCACCAGAGTGATCGATCGCGTCGCGCCGTGTGGGTGGAAAACGCATTCCAATGACTTGCCACCGGGTACCGTCCATGCTTTGTCTCACACCCTCCTTACCTTATGTTGCTATCGTGCTAGCCGATGTATTTTGGCAAAGGAGATGTGGGTAGCTCTTGCGGACACCGTCTCAACGAACGCAGCCGTGAATCGCCCTCTGCGTGATTTCGGTTTCCTTGTTGCCGGGTACGGTCTGGTTCACCTGCCAAGTTAACTTCTATAAATCCCATGCACCTAACCTTCGCCGGCGAGTCGTCAGCAAGTGGAGCTTCGTCAGTCAGAAGAACGTCATTGCGATTTCCACCACCGGTGGTGAAACTTCTTCCTCTTCTGCTCTGTGGACCAACTGTGTTTTTGTTAACGCATCACCGCCGAGTTCACCGTCGGATTCATCATCGTTCAACACTTTCAGTATGATAATATAAATACGAGTAGTTTCTGCTACTGCCGTTACATCTTCTGGACTACCGTCGTTTTCGACAATGTCCGATAAAATGTTTTCGAACAGCTTAACTAAGGTGGAACAGACCCGGACTGGGAGGATACCGTCCTACTATTCTCAGTAAGCAGGCGACCTTTAGATACAATATAAAAAAGACTCAAGTGTTCGGATTGTGAATGGAAATGAACTTGAATGATGAATTGTCCCGACTTCGTCGCGGCGGCGGAGACTTTTATACGGGATGAGTGCCGATATTGTTTTGATCTAGAAACACTGACGTTAACGTCGTCGGACCTACGGGAACCTTTACGTTTCGCAAGGTTCTGTGGCGCGCGACTTCCACTGTTACAACTTACAAGATTATGCGGCGCGCCTGAGCGAAAT